TTCTACCTACCTTTTCCTCCAGAAGATTTAGTATTTCTGTTTTAATATTTAAACCTTTGATTCACTTTGACTGTAGCTTTGTGCATGGTGTTAGGCATGGGTCTAGTTTTAACCTTCAGCATGTGGAAAGCCAGTTTTTCCAGTACCATTTATTAGAGAGGCTATCTTTCTTCCAGTGAGCCTGTTTGATTCCTTTGTCAAAGATAAGGTGGTTGAGTATGTTTGCAGTTGTATCTGCATCGTTTAATCTGTTCCATTGATCTGCAGGTCTTTTTTTTCCCATCACCATGCTGATTTTATCATGGTAGCTTTGTACTATAATTTCAAGTCAAGGATTGTAGTGCCTCCTGCCTTGCCTTTGTTGTCCAATACTGCCTTTGCTATTCTAGGTCTTTTCTGGTTCCAAATAAATTTTAGGAATGTTTTCTTTAAATCTGTGGGGTACGTTGGTGGTATTTGACAGGGATTACATTAAATCTGTATAACAATTTTGGGAGCATGGCCATTTTCACAATGTTGGTTCTTCCTATCCAGGAGCATAGAATATTTTTCCTTTTTCTCAAATCCTTTTCAATCGCTTTTCTCAGAGTATATATGTGCACCCATGTTTATAGCAGCACGGTTTGTCACAGCTAAATCCTGGAAACAACCCGGACATCCATCAACTGAAGAATGGATAAAGAAGATGTGGTATGCTTACACAATGGAGTATTATTCAGCTACAAAACAGGATAAATTTGAGTCTTTTGGCACCAAATGGATGCAACTTTAAATCAGACCCCCATGTGCAAACATCTTATTGTCTCCTTAGTGTGAGAACATGAAACAGAAAAATAGAATCTGAAGAGTACAATAGATACTGGGAAAAGAGAATGAACTTATTACAGTGAAAGTTACTGAGTTGAGGAGGACAGGAGAGGAAGTGGGGGAAAGAGATTTACCTAGGTATGTAAGCAGGATGGCTTGGACAACTGTACTGTGCATTTCTGCTGGTCTATGGAAAGGAGCAGATAATACTTAATGTGTATTGTCTCATTTTTTAAATTGTGTTTTTTCTCTTCTTAATTTCTTATATGTTTCTTTCTCATTTTCTTCTTCCAATTTTACATGCATACATCTTGGAATATGAATAACTAGTTCGAGGACAACTCTATGTATTACAACAAATACTATGAAATTCATATTATTTTGTTAAGTGAAATTCTGTATCACTTGTAATTTTTTCTGTTTTAATTCTAATTTGTACTCTCTTTGAAAAATAATGCATAAATACAGCAGGCATCCTCCCCAAGGTTCTCTGGGCCCCTACACAAATCCAAATGCACTGTCTAAAATGAATCCTTTCTCTCGGGCAAAAACGAACAATGGTCCTTCCCCAGAACTGTTCCCAGGGGAAGAACTGGTTAGCAGGCGTCGAGGGATCCTGGAGGCTTCGTTGAGAGGACTTGGTTCTACTAGCTCCTCCTGCGGCTTGAGACTCACAGTCTCAGCTCCACCGCTCATCAGCTCAATGTACAACGCAACCTTCTTGTCCTGTTCCCAGGCCTCTACACTCAGGGGTTCATTTCTCTGTGTGTCAGAGTTTCCGTGAAGGCTCTATCACAGCGCACGACCTGAGAATGACAACCCTGGCAGGTTTTGTCTGGATGGCCTTTGCCTTGTGTCATTTCATGGGATCCTCACAAAAGCCACAAATGAAGCCATTGAGTTTTGCTTAGAAATAATTCTACGTCAGCACATTTAGATCTACTTACTGTATACATTTAATGTATTGCAGATTACTTCAGAGCATAGCTGAACCGACATTCCACCAAGGAGCATTTGTTTCCAGCGCCAGGTTACCATGTCTTTGACTGTCCTCTTTGCACATGCGCACAAACACTTCTGTAGGGCGCTGTATGAAGGCAACACTGTGGGGTGTTAGGTGGTTCACACAGAGAATATTAAGGAAAGCCGCCAGGTGGCGCTGCATCCATCTGGGCCTCACCAGTCATCCCCTCCACCCTTGAAGGTGGAGTCAGTCACCAGGTCTTTATAAACCCTGGGTGTGATCAACATTTTACAGTTTACTAGTAGATCTTCGAATATTCTTTTGTTACTAGCTTCAGTTTTTACTGCTATGTAAATAAACATACCTCATATTGTGAGTTGCTTAGCAATGCCCTTCAGTGAAATCTTTCACTGAATTCTTGGTGTTCTTACTGACTTGGAGTGATTTTTTATAATCTATTAACCTTTGGTATATAAACCACAAATATATTCTCCCCTCTTTGTCTCTTTGTAAGAAACAAAAAAATGTATTTATAGTGTCTTCTGTTTCTAGTTCTCTTTTGGTGCTAGGAATATAACAAGGTCCTTGCACATGCTAGGCAAGGACTCTACCATGGAGCTACACCCTTTGCCTCTCCATTATTTTTTTTTTTTCATTTTATAGGGTCTCACTATGTAGCTTGGACTTGTACTGATCCTCCTGTTTTCAGCCTCCCCAGTGCAGGGATTACAGTGGTGTGCCACCATGCCCAGACTCGGTAGCAGGCTCAGCCTCGGGGGCGGGGCTGGCATGGCATGTGAGACCATCCATGGTATTTTTCATATAAAACTCTTTAGGTATGCAAGCTTATTAATCTTTTTCTTCATGAACTTTGCATCTTATGTAAGAAAGTCTTCTACATTACTACGTTACTTACCTCCTCTCATATCTAACATTTCATTTTTATTACTTCACTTCATCTGGAATGGATTTTGTGAAGGGTATATTGTTGTGTGCCCTTCATGGTTGTCCTGGTTCCGAGTCCTTCCTTCAGTCTACTTTAGTTCCCCAAAGAGTTGATCTCTTTCCCCCTCCCCCCACAATTCCACTCCAGGTAGGAGGAAAACAAATATGTGGGAAAAAACTATGTATAAAGTAGAAGGAACTCTATTCCCAAGAACTGGCAAAGGTGAACTTCCAGAGAGAAGAAAAGAGTCCTCTTTGCTTAACTAATTGAGACAAGCTCTTAGACAAAGGCATTCCACCGGTGAGGAGTCTCAGAGAGTGGTTAGCTTTATTAGGAAGTGTGTTACAGGCTGAAGCAGGACAGGCTACGATGGCAGGGGTCGGCATCCTAGAATCCATAAGCTGAATCTCGCTACTTTGAGGGTTTCTAACACATCAGTTAAGAGAATAAATCAAAACACGGGTAACAACTCATGACCTACAGAGATTCTATGAAAAATTTCAGTGTCTGTCATAGTCATTTTATTCATCACTAAGAAACAAAATCTGATACCAGCAACTTAAGGAGGAGAGGTCTATTTTGGTTCACAGTCTGTAGAGGTCTCAGGCCGTAGTCAGCTGGTGAATGGCAGCGGGGTTTGGAAGAGGAAAAGCATGTCTTGGCTTGCTCTTGGAAAGGGAGAGAAAACCTTCCGGGTCATGCCCACAGTGACTCACCATTTGGACCAGGTCCTAGCTAACAAATCAGGTCAGCTATGTTACCCCTCTAATCCAGTCACCTTCCAAAGGTCACATGTAGGATCACCTGAGGCTTTAGGGAGGCACCTAGATAGCGGCCAGAAAAATGCCCACACATAAAAATTCACTGGAACACAACCACACCCATGTGTACATTGCCCTTGACTACTTTGGGTTACTTTAGCAGAACTGGGCGCTGGGACAGAGTCCCAATGGGCCAGAAAGCTGGGCGTATTTGCTCTCTGGAAGCTTACAGAAAAGATTCTTGACCCCTGAGATGGATATGTGGCTGAGAGGATTAGCAGCGGGACTCTCAAATGAAGCCACAAAGTAGCAAGGTCAGGAAATGGGAGGGAAAGAGGTACAAAGGGGAGGGGTGCAAGGAGGCAGCCCCTGAGGCAGTGAAGCTCCAGAGAATAAGGTTTCAAGTTTCCACTCCAACATGAAGGACCCATCCCTTTATATCGAGGATGGCAGTGGGCCAGGTAGAGTTCTGGCCACCAATGGACCTTCTGTAGGTGGGACGGCAGAGCCCAGCAGGACTAGGAACAAGGGGTCATTGGTGTACCTGATTAGACTTCAGAGTGGTCTGTCCCACAGACCCTGTGGCCCAAACATCAGAAATGTCTTATTTCCTAATTCTGCAGGCTACAGGCCTGGATCAAGGTGTGAACAGGGCCAATCTGTTTCTGAAGGAATTGGAGCAGAACCTGGCCCAGCCTCTCTCCTACTCCTGCTTGGTGTGTGGCAGTCCGAGCTGGTCTTCACATGGACACGCACTGGGCCGTGTCTCTGGATCCGGGTTTCCCCCTTCTCTAAGGAGACCAGTATAGTGAATAGGGCCAAGCCTGCTCCACTGTGACCTGCTGCTCAATTAACCAATCCCACTGGCAGTATGACCTCATTTCTGAATAAGGTCCCATTGTGAGCTGCTAGCGCTTAGGGCATCAATTATAGCATTGTTGAAGGTGCAGTTCAACACCTAGAAGTATGACACGAAGTAGTGCGGAGGAACTTTCTCCCCTTCTCCCACACCTGCGACTGCCCCTAGCACGCAGGGAGCTTGCTCCCCGCGTGAACCCGCCCCCTCCCCAAGGAAGATTTGCTTCTCCTGCGGGTCAGTGTCTGACCCTTGGCGCCTGTCTGCTGTGGCTGTGCCCATCGTGGGCACAGCCTGGCCTTGCCTGCCCAGGGCTCCTGCCCTGTCCCTGTGGGGAAGCACTGCCAAGCCCTGCCCTGGGCACACCTGGTGTGCCAGCTCCTAACCCACACAGCTGCTGGCCAGGGCAGGCCAGGGCCCCCTCCAGCCCCGGCCACAGGGGCTTCCTGTCCCAGGGGCAGCACGGGTTCTATGATTAGAGTGACATTGAACTCGGATCTGACATGTAGGTTACCAAAGTCTATGAATCGTACCGCGTCAGAGCTCACTGATATGACACCAGCAGCAGCATCAGTGACAATTCATCAAAAAAATTTTTTTCTTAAATGAACTTCACTTTATTACAGTAACTTTCCACAGTAGAAAAATAACGAAATGCAAACTTGTCTAGATTCTCTTGCTGATTCTCTTGAAGACGAGGCCACCCAGGGTCATGGTCTAAAAGCCAGAAAAGAAATCATGAAACATTCACCTGTTGTTAAATAGTAAAAATAAATAATGAAGCCCCCCCCCCATAGCTACACATATGGTAACACATGAAACTACTCAATAATTTCTCTTTCCTATAGGACCAGAGAAAGGCTAGAGACTGTCTCAGGAATCCTATGCGTCTGCATCACGTCACGTTCTGCGCAGAGCTGCGCGGTCATTTGCTGACTTCTTTTTGAACCAGATGGATGTGACAGCAAGATCAGGTGAACATGCTCAGTGCATTCCAAACTTGCCAAGTTTTATTGAGCACCTTCTATGGGTCAAAACCACCCTGAACAGCAAGGATACGTGTGCATGGGGTAGCAGGAAAGTAGCCAGGGACAGCAGCCTTGGGGTCCCTGAGGGACGTTCTCTTCGTCATCTTGGTTCTCTTGAACCAAGCAGCTGTGGTGACACAGCTGTTGGGAGCTAAACAAAAGAGCCCTTTTCTTCAGGAGCATGGAGTGGCTGCTCAGAAGAGACCGGAGCCCTGGCTGTGTCCAGGTTGGCTTAGGAAAAGTCAACCAGACTGTTGAAACCTGTGACTTGCTTTCTCCCAGGAGACGGCAGGAGTAGGCAAGGTGGAGCTACCAGAGGATGGAGCTGCCAGGGCTCGTCCCCGACAGCTCATCCCCTGCCCCTGTCCTGCTCTACGGTGCTGGTGTGGGCGCAGGGACTGCGCAGTCGCGGTTGATGCTCACATGTCCCTCCCTGGCTGAGGGACGTTACCATCGACCCAGGGACCACGGCCCCCTGGGCTGGCTAACGCTGCCTGTGACTCCCCAGACCCCAATCTGAGGGCAAGAGCAGCCAGAGGGACAGAGCTGCTGGAGAGACACTGCAGGTCACTCTGAACCCGGGGTAGGTTGTGGCCAACGACCGAGCACTGAGCCTGTGAGAGGGCAGCGGGTATTCAGGAGAGGACTGCGGCAGCCCGTCCTGCTGTGATGCAGCTTTCGGAGATGTAAACATTCACTGAATTTTGAGGCCCCAGCTAAGCACACGACGCACACAGTCTGTGGTGTGAGGCTGAGTCGCCCCCCACAGGATAGCTGTGGGCGGCATCCCCAAGAGAGTGACCCAATCAGAGGAAGCTGGCTGTGCCATTCTGTGGCTACTTGTTGCCTCAGTTCCCCCTTTAGTGAACTGCTGCTGGGAAGCTTAGAGATGCTGTGGGAACTGCCTGCTGCGTAAGGACCCTCAGCCAAGTGGGAGAGGACATAGAAAGGTCAGAATTTGGGGCTCAGAGGATAAAGCTAGGCCTGGGGGTAAGGAGTACAGCTGCTCCTCACCCCCCAGCACCCAGAGTCACAGGCACAGGGCGCTAACTTACGCTGGTCAGGGTGTCCCCATTGAGTTCAGTCACAGACTTGATGTTTTTGAACGTTGCTACCAGCTTGTTGTCACCTTCCAGGTTAACCAATGCCTGCAGGGACAGAGAGAGACCTGTGAGGAACAAGCTGTGGTGAGCTGTGGCGAGTGCGACCCTTGCTAGTAAGTTGGTTCCCTGTGCAGGTGTCAGTCAGGACAACCAAAGCGCTCTGGCCTTTGTGCTCCCAACCTCAGCGGAAGACAGAAAGAAGACACCAGGCCATCTGTCGGACTCCAGCTGTGCTCTGTGATCAGGAAAGAGCACCAATGCCTGAGCGGTGCCCAGGACAGACGCTGGAATAAAAGCAGGGACATCTGCACTCTGCAAGCCAATGGCGGGCAGTGGCCTCCGAATTCAGAGCCCTCACACACATTGCTGGGTCTGTACGGGTCTTCCCAGAACACCTGTCCTCCTGCTGTGGTCTCCCCTCCAAGCCTGAGCCCCCAGGAGGAGCAAACACAGGCACCAACCAGGCCCACAGGGCACTGCCCAGGTTCGAAACTCCCTCCGTGGACGCTTGGAGACCACCCGTGGCAGAACTCATGGTGGTCACCCCTCCCCATGGCGTAGCCCAGGAAAGCCTGCAGCTTGCTCCCATCTCCAGCGCTCTGTCTGCAGAGCGAGATGAGGAGCAATGGGAAGAGGTGGAGAGAGAGCACGCTGAGCCCAGCACACAGCCATCCGGGAGCAGGGAAGACAGCTGCTCCGTGGTGCTGGGGGCGCTGGGGGTGCAGTGTGTCCTGGGAGCAGCAGAGGGCGGGTCCTGGCTGTCGCTGAGCTCTGTGGCCCCAGGCCTGTGGAGGGAGCTGCCCTGCCCACTGCCTTCAGCGGAGCAGGCTGACCTCCCCTTCGCAAGTCCCTGAGCTGTGTGCGCGCCCCAAGGCTCATTCTATGCCTGCCTGGGCCCTGGGCTTCTGGTACTGGCAGTGCTTTGGCCAAGATGTTTCTCATGTTGTCAGCACCTCCAAAGGCCAGTCCATGGCCTCATCCATGGTCAGGTACTTTAGGCAATACTAAGCCTTTCAATGTTCCCCAATTGTCCCATTGGTGCACCCTGTTTGGGGTTGTGAGAGCCAGTGGCCCAGACCTGAAGAAGTCTGAGCCTTGGACTCCTGCTCGGGGCCGGGTTCCCGCCACGCGCTCCATATCACAGCACTCCTGGAGCAGTAAGCACAGCTTCCCTACAGGCCTTCCGAGTCTCCCACCAGCAGCGTGGGCTTAGGACGGGACACCCAGAGTGAGAATTACGAAGCCTGTGGGACTTGAGGCAGAAAGCCCTGGGCCAGGCTCTAGGGAGAGTTCTGGAAGCAGTGGAGAAGGAAGGGCACCTCCTACCTTGACCTTCTCCCCCGTGACTATCTCCATATCACTCTCTTCCCCCAGGTTGAACTCCTGCTTGTCTACTTTGGTGCCCGTGGTAATGGTGATCTTGAAGTGCTTCCCATTCTGCACGATTTCGGTCACCCCCTTAAGGTCCTTCGCCTTCTGGATGAGGTCATCAGACAACCCTGGAGGAAACCATCCAAGGTTTAGAGATAGCAAGGGCGGGATTTGCAAGGCTGAGGAAGCATGGACAGGTAGAGGCTACAGACCCTGGAGAAGCAAGGTCTGCAGCCTCAGAGAGGGAAGGAGGGCGGCCTGGCCTGGCTGCTATGACCTCGAGCCTTTCTTTTCCCTGTGAGTCCTCTGCTTCTGGCTCCTCTCTCTCTCCTGCTCTAGTGGCTCTGCTCTGGGAGCTAAAGCCTATCACTGTCCACACCCAGAAGGACTAGAGTGTGTTTCTTCCACAAGGGATCACAGCTGAGGTGACAGGCGATGCGAGTAATTAGGCCAGGACACCAAGCACAAAGTGGGCATGCCAGGCAAGCCTGGACATGAGAGATGTCCTGACAGCAGGAGAGGCAGGTCTGCTGCACAGGTAAGCACTGGCTATGCAGAATCAGGGTGCCTTGACTGCAGAGGGCGCCCTGAGCTCTTGGGCACCCTGAAGGTCCTCCTGCCCTGCCCTCACTGTTTTCTGGCTCTTCTCCTTCCCCACGGCTCCCTAGCCACACAGCAGCCTCTGCTCATGGGGCTCCCTCTGCCTGGAACATGCTTCCCTCCCCAGGTTTCTAGGGGGCACCTGCTCCTCTTCCCAGACTCCCCTTCCCTTCCCCCACACCCCTGCTCTGTGGGAGGCAGCACCTGCTTCCACTCCCGTCACAGGACCCTGGTCAGGGCAACTTGCGTTTCTCAGCCTTAGTAGTAAAACAAGAAAATAATTGTACCCAACTCAGAGCTTCTGGTGAAGATTCAATGAGGCGCTGTGTAGCAAGTGCTTAGCCCAGTACCAGGTACAGTCACCCCTCCTACAAGTTAAGTAAAACCTGTTGCCTTTATTTCTTGCCTTCTCTCCCTAAACGCTGTCCCTGGAAATGGGGCTCTTCATTATGTCTCAGAGCTACGTATCGAGCAGCGTGCTTGCTGTGTGGTTGTCTGCGAGTCTGCATTTGTTAGGAGCATAAACGAATATGTGCGTGTATGAGTGAGCAGGGTCTCACACTCAAGTGACAAAGGACGTGGGCATCCACGCAGACCCCAACCTGGCTTTCCACTGGCCTCTTGGTGGCCTTGTCCACTGAGTAGTGGCCCACGTGGCGAGAGTTTACCAGTCAGTAAAATGACTCCCAATTCAGTGTAACTTAAACCTCTGCTCCCTTCCCAACATCTGACACTGAATTCCACTGCATGGGGCCAAGTTGTCACACTGTCACTGGGGCTTGGGGGCCTGTCCAGCACTCACCCATTGCCTTCATGAAGGGCTCGAAGTTTTCCTGGCTCTGCAGTTGGTATTTTCCAGTGAAGTTCATGGTGACAACAAGGCTCCTCTCCACAGCTGGCCCAGAGCTCTACAGGCCTGGCTGCCCACTGGTGGCAGTTTTATAGGGGGCTTCTTCCTCTCTGTATATGGAGTATAGGTTAATGGCTATAATTTCTTTATGACCACGTTAAAACATTAACTTCTGAGAAGAATGCTCAATAAAAAAAAAAAAAAAAAAAAAAAAAAACCAGGATGGGCCCAGCAGGCCCAACAGAGGTTTCCTCAAATCCAGCAAACATTAATGAACAGCTACCAAGGGCAGAGTCCCAGGACCCTCTGCAATTTAAGGTGACATCCATCCCTTGGGGATACAGTGTGTATTCATGGATGTGAGTGTGTATGGATGTTTTTCTGCTAGTACGCATTTTATTGTTATTAATCCGCCTCCAAATTCTCCCGTCTCTTCACACACACTTATTCTATCATTCTTCCTACTTTCTGAAGCACTTTGAGACCTCTTTTGTGAGCACTTTCATGAGCTGTGATGAAAGAATGTAATAATAATACCCTGCACCCTGCTGCCGAGCGCCAGTCCTTGGAAGGTGGGCTCTGACAAACATCAGGGCGTGTCGCTGCCGCCCTTATTCACCGGAGCTCCCTGGGTGAGCTCAAAGTGCAGGCGGCCGGCCGTGAGAGGAAAACCATTTGAAGCGATTCAGGACACTGAGGCGGCATGACTGCGTGAAGGAGAATTTCAAACCTGCTTCAGGAAAAGCAAGGAAGATAGAATGAGTGTGTCCCATTAAGCGACAGTACTACGAGGGAGGCTTCGTGGGGATGTATCTTTTACTAGAATAAACTTTTTTTTTTCCCTGAGCAGGATGTCGCTATGTGGTTCAGGCTGGACTTCACTGTACAGCCCAGGCTGGCCTCAAAATGAGGGGATCCTCCCCCACTCCGCCTCCGGAGTGCTGGGTCCACACACTTGTGCTACCACACCCACATAATCCCAGCACCAAACTTTTTCTTTTTTATTAAATTAACCTTCTAATCATGCCTGAGTCTGGTACTCAGAAGGCTGAGGCAGGAGGATCCTCTCAGGTTTGAGGCCAACCTGGGCTACATACTAAGTTCAAGGCCAGTCTGAACTACGTAGCGAGACCCTGTTTCAAAAACCAAACAAACATATAAATGCCCTATATTTTTCTAAATCATGTATGTGCATATAAAGGGACACAGATGTATTGTATGTATAATAATGTGTACATTTGCATATAGAAATATGTGTGTATATGCATGAATGTATATTCATGTGTGTTTGTGGATGTGTAAACACATGTTTATGTGTGTGAACAGATAGATACACATTTATATATTGCATGTGTGTAACACAAATATCCTGGAGCACAAAACTTTAGGATCCCTTCCAGTCCTTACCTTGCACACACTTAATTGCACAGAATTGAAATCAGCCCCAGTGCTCTCTCCATGCAGGGAAGGCGCCGATTCCCTAGGAGACTCCTCAGCACCCGCGGTCTCTCCTGGAGAGCGAAGTCCACACACACATCACAGGGCAGAGCAGGCCCTAAGCCAGGTGAAGAAACTTAGATGTGTTTTCTTACCAGGAACAGGAAAAGAGAGCCAGAAGAGTCTGCTCCCTTGCCCACCCCTGCCTAGGAGGCAGGAAAGGGACCTGCACTGGGGCGACACGTGGGGAGCCTTGTGGGACCCCCTGTCTGCCCGGCCTTGAGCAGACCACACAGAAACACTTCCAGCCACCTTGGACGCTCTTGTTTGTCCTGAAGCGCAGAGGCCGTGGCACCCGGCGGACCTGCAGCCCCAGGCCCTGCCTCTGAGGCACCTCTGGACAGGCTCCTCGCCCAGCTCTCTCCCCTCCCTCTGGCCCTTGGGGTGGGCCTCTGTGCTTGCAGCCTCCAGTCTCCCGCCTTCACTCAGGCCTCTGTGCTGTAGTGGTCAGCGGGCCCTACTTCACGGCCTGAGCACAGCCCTCTCCAGGTGGGAGCCTCTGCCTCTGGGGTCCCACTTGCTCCTGAGGCCACAGGTCTGAGGGCTCAGGAGAGTCCTGGTGTACTGTGTCCTGTCACAGTGACCCTTCCAGCAGGGCTCTCCCTCTGCTGCCATGAGCTCTGATCTGGGCTTAGTAAGCAACTGGTGAGCAACTGCCATTGCAGGAGATTCTAGAAGGGCTGCTGGTCTTGTAAAGCCAGCTCCAGTTACACACACACACACACCCTTCTGTCTCTGCAGGTCACAGTCCCTAGGCCAGCTGAACACATCACAGGCCTCCAGTCCTCTGTGTTTGTGCCCCCGTCTCCCCCTCTGCCATTCTCTCTGCCTGCTCCTCTGTGAGTCCTCTGAGCTCACCTCCCCAGCCCTCACACTGGCCCCTGGAACGAGCTCTCCTGGCCCTGTGTCCCTGTGTCCCTGTGTGCTCCCCTTGGTGCTCTTCTCACCCCGCACAGAGCAGGAGCTCAGTCTATGAAGTAAAGATGGAAGGAAGGTGACCAGGCCGTGGCTTCTGTGGTTCAGGGAGCGTGAGAGGTGGGGAGCGGTCAGGTCAGCACTCCAGCCTCACAGCACTGAATGACTGGAGCCTGGGGCCCCTCTGGTTCTGGGGAGCTGAAGGGGCAGGCAGTTGAACAGGTGAATGCTCATACTGGGGTACACTGATGTCCCAGGACACAAGCGGGGGGAGCTCCCAACCAACACAGACCCTGGCCTACAGAAGTGTGCCCTGCCCCAACCCCACTCACAGCTCTCCGTGGTCTCTAGAATGTCCATCTGCTGATCCAGCAAACCACACAGATGGCACCCATGTGCCCACACATCTGGGGCCAGGGCCTGTCTCCAGCCCCTCTGACATGTGACATTCGCATTTGCACCCTGCGTCGGGAGGTCACTACTTTTGGGACAGTGGAAACAGAGGTGCTAGTTGTGCGCCAGCAAGCATTTCCCTCAGCTCGGAGTGACACTGTGCACTGCCCTCCCTACTTAGCCTTCTGAGGGCTTCCCAGGCCGCGGGTGAAGCTAAGGCCGCCCGGTCATGCTGAATGTTGAGGACTCATGGTCCTTTCTAGGCTCCACAGCAACCTCAGGACAAAAGATAGGAGTAGGCAAAGTAGCTTAAAGGACATGACCCTCTCATCTTGTCTTGAGCCTTGACTGTGCACTTTCAGTGTGACTCACTATCCCGAGGGTGCCCATTTAGACCCTGATGTCCTAGTGAATGTTTCCTTTTTCTTCATGTATGAAAGTGAAGAATCCATTATTTTAAGAAATGGCATGAGAGAAACTGTGTGTGTGTGTGTGTGTGTGTGTGTGTGTGTGTGTGTGTGTGTGTGATGATATGTATAAGCTGATGGGGATAGATCGTGAGACCCCCTGTGTGTGTCAGCAAGAGCCACACTGGCCCAGGCAAGGGCTACTTTGTTCACAGGAGACCCGGAAGGCCTTGGGTGTCTTCCTCTCAGGGGAGGAGAGGAAAGGGGCCAACGAAAGAGTTTGGGGCAGAGAGCCACTAAGACGCCCACCGTGACCACAAGAGATGGTTTCTAAGAAGGCTAGTGTGGAGTATGAACCTGCTTGTTTGTGCCAAACTCAGTTCCCATCCATCTTTCTGTACTCCCCTTCCCTACCACCTGCCATGCACCTCCAAATGTTCAGGTCACTACTTTTGGGACAGTGGAAACAGAGGTGCTAGTTGTGCACACTGCCACATGGCCCCTGGCAACAGTGAGCATTTTCCTCAGCATGGAGGGACACTGTGGGCTGCCCTCCCTACTTAGCCTTCTTCTGAGGGCTTCCCAAGCCACGGGTGAAGCTGAAGCTGAACCTTTGATCCAGGCCTGCAGCCTCCAGAATTGGGACATAAGACATTACTGTTGTTTGGGCCACACGGCCCCTGGGACAGGCAATCCTGAAGTCTTCTCTGGTACATGGATGACCTCTTATTCCCAACCCTACTGGGTTCTGCCGTCCCACCTACGGAAGGTCCTTTGGTGGCCAGAACTCTACCTGGCCCACTGCCATCCTCGATATAAAGGGTGGGGTCCTTCATGTTGGAGTGGAAACTTGAAACCTCATTCTCTGGAGCTTCACTGCCTCAGGGGCCGCCTCCCTGCACCCCACCCCTTTGTACCTCTTTCCCTCCCATTTCCTGACCTTGCTACTTTGTGGCTACATTTGAGAGTCCCACTGCTAATCCTCTCAGCCACATATCCACCTCAGGGGTCAGGAATCTTTTCTGTAAGCTTCCAGAGAGCAAATACGCCCAGCTTTCTGGCCCACTGGGACTCTGTCCCAGCGCCCAGTTCTGCCATTGCAGTCCAAAGCTGTCAAGGGCAATATACACATGGGTGTGGTTGCGTTCTAGTAAATTTTTATGTGTGGGCATTTTTCTGGGTCCTATCTAGATGCCTCCCTAAAGCCTCAGGTGATCCTAGGTGTGACCTTTGGAAGGTGACTGGATTAGAGGGTATCATAGCTGACCTGCTGGTAGGGCTTGCAGAAAGAAGTATGTCACTTCTGCAGCATGCCTGAACATGTATCTCTCCTCTCCCAGTCACCACGCCAAGAACAGCCATCCGTCTGCCCTGTCCCTCTGCCGTGCCCATCTGCCTTGGAAGCAGCTGGCAGTGGGCCGACACCTTTGACTGTGAGCCACAACAAACTTCCCTCCCTTAAACTGCATGTATCAGGTATTGTGTCCAGTGATGAAGAATGTGACAATGGCACGCTTGAAACTTTTAGTTTTTACAGTTCTCCTCTGTCGTATTACCCTTCCTTGGATTTCTTTTACCCATGCAGCCACCATTCCCAGTTGGCATACTATAGCACAGAGGGTGGCAAGTCTTGGGCCACTGAGCACCGAGTATCCAGTCTTAGTTAACCGGTCATACTTTCCAATCCAACTATATAACCTCTGATATTTAAAGACAATTTAATTACCACCTCCTCTAAGAAATATCAATTTGCTAAGCTCAGGATACCCTTTCTTCTCTCTTGAAGCTTGCCTATGTCAATCCTTGGGAATAAAT